AAAACTCCATCATGATTATTCTATGTGATCCAACATTAAAGGATTTAACACTCATATCATGTTATTCTTATTTGCACTAACTTAAGATTACAGAACACTATTGTCCAATTGTTTGGTCTAGAATGTGTTTACTTTCGATTTGGACAATCCAATGCTATTCAGATTAAACTCAGACATTTAATTTTTTCTTTAGTTGTTTTTTTACACTTAATTTTTACCAAGATTTAGTTTGTTAGATAAAGTGGTAATAATTAATGGCTGTCTTTGGAGTTACCTGGCTGCTGTGTTTCATTCCTGGCTTAGTTCCTTTGTGTTAAGTTTGAGGTGTTTTTGCACACAGTCTTCTTGATGTTGTCAGCTGGTTTAAATGCACCTGTTAATACTCATTCTTTAAAGTCTGTTTGATTTTACATCTGCTTCTGCAAGGATTTTTTTTTGTTATGTTATATTCGACCGAAAATACTTTCTTTATCACGAGAACCCAGCCAATTCTGTTTCTCTACTTTATTTTTATGGTCTGTTCATGACTTCATTACCAAAGTTATTGTGCGTGTATTATTTTGGTCAATTCATTTGAGAACTTTACAGCCAGAAAATGAGACAGATTATCAACAAATCTTGATTTGTTTAATTTCCTCCTTGAGGAGGTGGTGCTCCTTAATGAGACAAAGTTATTGGTAAAAACAAACATCAACGTGTGTGTGTGTGTGTGTGTGTGTGTGTGTGTGTTTGTGTGTTTGTGTGTGTGTGTGTGTGTGTGTGCGTGCGTGCGTGCGTGTGTGTGTGTGCAAAGCTTCGAGTGAGACAGAAGGAAACGCAAGCTCGGCAAACATGCACACCACCACATCAGGCAACTGCAGCGAGGAGAGACGAGACAGGCTTTACAGAGGGGTGAATGTATTTATATATTTATATTTCGGTCTACTTTAGTTGGAGGTATGTTCTTTATCTATGTTCTTAATTTTGACTAAATCATTTTTAATAGTTGGAAAACATTTGCATTTACATTGCAGTACAGAAAGTTCAATACAGTACAAAGCAACAGTACAGTTGTTTGCCGCCTGTCCTTCTCAATATACTGAATAAAAAGTCCCAGAACCTTAAGAAACTTGGGATGGGTTACTGTGGTAAAAGAAATCCTTCAAGGTAAAGACAGGAACCTGTGTCCTTTTAAAACAGGGAGGACAAGCTGATGTCCACTCTCAGGATAATGTCAGGGCTTGTGGTTAAACAAGGGGAAGCGTTTAAATGATTGAATCAACCAGCTAATACACAGGGTGCTTCAGGAATTAGCTGTCTGTTGCTGTACAGCTAAGAAATGTTGTCCCATCTTTTGAGTTCAGGACAAGTCTAGAAACCAACAACCAATCACACTACTTGCACTTATCACAGAAGAGACAGAGGGAAAGGTTCTGTCCTGGAGTAGGGCAGCTGAACCTCGATGGATGGAAGTTAAAGCCTAACGTTGACAGAACATTGGTCTGACTCCACATTTATATGTTTGTTCAAAGTGCCTTTAGCCCTGCCTTCCTCTTCATTTGGGTTTACTAGATTATGACACACAAAACAAATACAATTGCAAATATGCAGGAAAAATATGTCAGCCTAAAGTGAGCCTAATTCTTCTCCAACCCTTTCCATATTAACACATTTGATTGAGTATATATACAGTACAAAGGATCTGAAAAGACAGCTTTTCACTGCTGTCACACGCAGTTTAATATGACTCAGTTAAGAGTTTAAGTGGATGTGCATGGTTCTTTCAGAGAACCTTTTAGGAACAGAGCAGTTGATGTGGAGGCTGAACAGATGCCCTCTGTTCCTGTGAGGCAGCTGTGCTGGCTCTCGCTCAGATGAATCCTGCAGATAATCTTAAATCTAATCTCCCACATTCAAAAGGAGCACAGATACACTGAGTGTGAAGCAAACACACAAGTGCACTCGTGCCCGCACACGTAAGACTGTGTATTATGCACACTTATGCTGACATATAAAAAATGAGTGAAGTAAAGCAGCCGACCATATTGGAAGACACACACAAACACACACACCGAACACACACACACACACACTTGTCTTGTCTGGATGGTCTACAGGGTTCAACGGAGAATTGAAAGTGAACTATAAAGATAGAACAGAGTAGGAAGTTGTGTATCTAGATGTGTTATCCCACCTGTTATGCCTTAAAGCTGCACTGAGACTGCAGAAGGTGGAGTCAATCAGTGTAGGAAGGAGTGTGCAGGTTATTCAAACTCTCTTCGTCTGATCATGCTGCCACTGCACTCCAGTCAGTTTGTTTGAATTGTTTGTTTGATGAAGTGTTTAGTTTTTGAGTGAGTCCGTGACATAAAGTGCATCTTTAGTGAAGCTTTGTATAGTTTATGTTCAAAGGCAACTAATGGCCTGTGTTTAGTCAATATATAGAATGAAGCCAAAAGATGTTTGTATGTACCTTAACGACAGCTAAAACTATGCGAATACCTTATTTGAATGCGTTATACTGTAGGTTGGATTGTGTACCAATTTATTTTTGTACAATAGGAATTTGAAGAAGCCCTATTGTTTGACCTAATGGATGCATACATAAAGTAAGTTTATTGCTTTCCCTTTGTTTAATTCATGTCTGAAGTTTGTGTGGCAATATAATTATTTCCTTTTGTTTATTGTACAGAAAATCATCCGTCTATCCCTCTACTTGACCTTGTACCAAATAAATGTGGTTTTGGATCCCTGTGTTTGAATGTTAACACCAGCTCGAGGTTCAATGGACTAGCACTAAAGGCACTCGCTCAGACTAATTAAAAATAGTTAGTTCTTTACACCACCAGTCATGTTTGATCATTTTGTGACCACACTAAATAAAGTTGAGTTATTGTAAATATATACATCTGTACCAGAAAATGTTAAAGATATTCTGAATTAAAAATCTTTATATTATCTGAATATTTAAATATTTTTGTAATATTTATTCATAGCTTTGATACAGCCATACTTCTTTAAAGGTGCAATCATAAAGTAATCAGATCTAGTCATGTGACAATTGACACCAAACATGTTAAACTGCACATATGTTGTTGAGGTTGTATTTTTTCCTGTTTTTCCTTGAAATGCATTGATTAAAGAGGACATATTATAGCCCTTTTCAAACAGTCTCCTGTGGTCTAAATGAAACATCTGTGCTGTGCTTTGGTCAAAATATAACATGAATCAAGCACCAGAGGAGGTGAAACCAAAACAACTTGCGCTGCATTGTTGTGTTAGCATGCTAATGCTAGCGATCTTTATTATGCTCGTATCTTCACACTGCATGTAAATTTACCTGAAATGAGCGTGATCTAGAAACACAGTTAAGCAGTGAGTACAGTATGTTATTCTTCTTTTCTCTAGTCCCTCAATTAAACAACTTTTATACTTGAGGGGAGGAGTCAGCCGGCCGTCCTGACGATGTAAACAAAGTGAAGATAGGACTCTGAAAACTCTGAAAACATCACAGACAGTGGGACTCGGGTGTTACAACCCATTGTAGACAGTCATGACTCACAGAGTTATTTTCAGAGGCTATACTTGATTTATATTATATTTAAGTGTGAAAAATCACATATTAAGACTTTAAAGTGGATTTTTCATAATAATTCCCCTTTAAATAAACCACCAAGTTATAAAATGACTGTTTGAAAAATAATTAAGCTAGTCTATTCTTTTTTAGATTAAATCCTGCTAGAATAAAATGCTGGACTTAAAGTTTATATTTAGTTATTTAAAATTATTCAATAATAATATACTGTTTTCATAAATATTCACTACAATGTCGGGAATTAAGTGTTAGAAGCTTGGACCCAAAGGCCTGGCCACCATTTGAACCAGTACTGAGTAAGGCATGTCTGAAATATATTTCCTGATGTTTTTTTATGAGTATTTGTTTTCCTGGCTGCTTCTAATTCTAGGTGCATATTCTTGATGATAAATGAAATGCTTTTAATCAGTTTCATAACTTTCAAAACAAAAATCAGATTCCAGGTAGACAAAAATGTGACAAATGTAAAAATTACAAACAATAATATGATACAAATTTAAAAAACCTTTCAATATAATTTTAAACAATATATTAAAAGGAAGGGGTCATTTCTTCAAAATATATTTTAATCCATTTAAGTAGAAACTTGTTTTCGATGAAGATAAATATGAAGTTTAAAATGAAAAAAACACATTTTCTGCACATTAATTAATCGTTTTTGTGCCTAAGGCATGTTTTTGGTAGCCACATACTAACATACTGCCTACTTTGTCAGCCAGTACTGTATACTGCATACTAACACAGCATACTACATACTCAATGAGGTGTCATATTTTGTCACGTCCCATTCAAACATTCAATCAGTATTGACAAAAACTAGCATTGATGAAAAGACAGTACTCAAACATTAAATTTGTATGCCTTATTTTCTTTATTACAATGAAAGTATGTGGTTTGGGACACAGCCTAATCCTACATCCTGGTCCTTCGTAGTTGTAATCATATGATAAATTGTGCAAGTTGTATTTTTCTCTTATACCGCCAACAATTTTAAGGAAAGCTTTTTTATTTTTGAACTGCTTGATACACAAAAGGGTTTTCTTGGGGGTCAAAATCACTCTTAGAAAGAGAGGGAGACTTAGGCAAGGAACCCTTTATCATCTTATTCCGCAGGGCTTAATGTGACCTTATTATTTTTGTTCTGCCCTTCATTACCTCCATCTGTAAATGTCAAGTTCGTCCCCTTCTTGCCTCATTTTAAACATCTGCTCATTGCTTCATTACACATGTGCTTACACAGTGAGAGGTATCATATCACTGGCTTACTCATTAGGCAAAAGAGAAAACGAGGAACAGCAAGGGATTTCTTGACATTTGCACAGTGATCAGGAGGAGATGAGGCACACAGAGATCTCTGCTGGCTTTCCCGAAGAAGACTTGGAAGGATGCTGCCAGCAGGGCGGTGGTGTGGTAGAGGTGGAGGAGGGCTGATGGAGGCAGAGCTTCCTGTCTCTCTACATCTCAGTGCACTGAGATATAATTGAGCGCAGTGAAAGCCGTGCATTCATTCAAAGACTCTGAGCAGCGCTGCTGAAGCCTGGGGGCTCAGTAGTGATTCAGCAGCATCTCGGAGCAGTGGATAGGAGAAAGAGACAATAAAGACCTAAAGAAAAGGGTGGGAGAAAAGAAGACCAGACGAGCTGATGTTTCCTTGGCAAAACCATGCCAAAACCGATTTTTGAAAACTTCTCCTCGCTTTGATAAAGATCTGCTCAAAATTCCTCTCAACTCCCGGAAATTCGGATCTCACTGGATTGTCGCGCATCATCGAGCGCACCGGACCTTAAGTGGTGTGAAGGTAGTGCTTTGCGTTATTTGAGACTTAAAGTGATTGTGTGAGAGAGAGCTGGGAGAGGATCAGCCGAAGTGGCCGACCATTCAGAAGGATGCTGGAGGGCAATGCCTGCAGAAAGAGAGGATGAGATTTGTCAAAAGGCGCTGGAATTGCTGTCCGACCTGTGCTCCAAGGGGGAGGTACAGGATGACAACTGCCTGGATTTCATTTACTACTTCAGGGACCTGGCCAGACCGCGTTACACAGACTCAGGTCAGATTCCATAATCTTCTCACAAAAAGTAGATTACTTTCATTAAGCTATAGGTATTATAACTATATCATCTTTAATACGCGAATCCATGGTGTAAAAAAATATCGAAAATGAGATTTCATCATAAGCTCCAACAGCTCATACCAATGTGTCTTTAGTTTACTTGAAGGGAGAAAAGTGTTCTGTGAACTTGTTGCTTTCTCCCAGAAGCATAGAGACTAAAACATTGCAGACCAGAATGTGTTTTGTGATTGTTTGCAAAATGCACTTAAGTATTCATCATTGTCCATCAACAGAGAAAGTGTGTGATTGTGGATTTGGTTCCTCTTTCACTCTGGAATGCTGTAGAGAGTGAAATTGCCCCACCCGTAATTCCCAACAGTGCACAGCACTTTGCAGACATGGATCAGTTAAAACAAACAGGATCAGTGATCCACTCCCAGCCCAGAGTCATTGGCAGAAATTTTACCAATACTGGCAAATTTCAAAAACACTTCTCCGCTAAAAAAAGCAAAAACAAAAAATCCCAACCAGTCTGAAAATATTCTGACACATTCTAGAGAGGCTTCTTCAGTTACTTAAAAAATGAATTACATATAAACAGATATTTCACTGCCAAAATCCAAATGAAAAGGTAGACAATCACAGTAATATCCCTTAGGCATGGCAGTTGTTTCATAAGGAAATTCTACAAATGCAGTCACTGCTCAGTATAGAGTGTCATGTTTGTTGTGTTAGAAAACAAGCATACATATCAGAATCTTTAGGATAGAAGATTATACACTATTCCCTAAGCATATATCATGTTCACATACGGTGAGCATGCTTATGATTCCACCTTCCCTCCTCCCTCTCCTTGTCCTTGTGTATGTGTTTGTATGTGCCAGTGTGTGTGTTTACTTGTGTTTGTTTTGCTCATAGCAGCTGAGGCTGGGCCGCTGCCTTTAAACATGTAACAATCCATTATTAAACATGTATGATGAAGAGGAAGTTCAGGCTACCAGAGTGGTTCCCCTGAGGAGCTGTGACCCACTTTCTCATGTATTAGACTGCTCTAAATGAATGCGCACGTGCACACACACACACACACACACACACACACACACGCTCAAACAGAAACACAGCCTGATCCATAACAACTACTGCTCAAACTAAATAAGGCAGAGACTTGAGCGGCTGTGGATCAGTGGTAGGGTCGGTAAACCAAAAGGTCAGGGGTTCGATCCCCAGTTCCGGAAGTCATATTGTCAGTGTGTCCTTGGGCAACCAGCTGCTTCGTTGGCGCGGTATGATTATGTATGAATTGGATGAGTTAATACTGATGTACACACACACAGCAGCCTCTGCCATCAGCGTGTGAATGGGTAGGTGTGACCTGCGATGTAAAACATGTTTTACAAGCTCAAGTCAATTTAACATTTATAATTTCAGCCAAGCTACTTTCTTTCTCTCAAAAAAAAAAAAATTCTGGGAACTGTTTTAACTTCTGCAAAATTCTGGCTTGAAATAAATGTTCTTCAATGGAGTAACATGGCTTTAGTTTTAATTGCACATTTCGGTTAACACATTTGTTCAAAGGACGAATGCCAGAACAATTGTTGGACGTGATTCAGGTGACTTTGTTTTTTCATTATTAAATAAGATAGAGGTGCGTATAATATGTTTGATATTTCTGTGAACTTTAAAATTAAAAAAAGTCCTTTCATTTCATACTGGATCCCACTTGTAAAAGAATATATGCACAGGTGTTGTCCGAGCATAAGAGAATAGGCAGATAGAAATAATAATGAAACAATAACAACTAGCAATAATGATATGTTAACAAGAGTAATAATCAGGTATATACATATATATATATTTTTAATCTAAAATATTGTACAAAACAAAAACAAATTAAAGAAAGAATTTATTGTTTTATAATGTGCGTTTAAGTGTTATGTGTGTTTGTGCCTTTTGTGTGTGTAGATTGGTTTTGTGTGTATGTGTGTGTTTAAATTGTGTGTGTACACTGTGTGTACTCTCACTTTACATATATATGAATTAACAAGATTTTGCCACAGTTATTTTTCTCCACATTTCTATTGCAGTTTTGAAAAAAAATGAGGCTGGCCCACTTTTACCATATGTCTTTTTCAATGCCATCCCCAGGTCATGAAAACAGGTTTTAAATGGTCAAGCTCTTAACATAACCTCTTGACCGAATCCTGACTGTAAAATGATGAACTTTCTCTCTGTCTCATGCCTTGTTTGTGGCTTTAACAAGTTTATACTTTTTAAAAATTATTTATAGTCAATAATATGTGGTATTCTTCAATAATTTGGCATGCTGAAGCTTATTAAGAACATGCAAAAATAGCTGTTTCCGGGATGTAAGGAAACCTGAATTGAACATATTATCCAGAGAAAGACAGGGACAGAGATCAGCGACAGACAACAGAGAGCGACAGAGAGCAGTTCAATATGAACATGCAACATGAAAACAGGACATTTACTCCTGAAGTCTGGTAGGTTTTTTTGGCCTTTATTATAAAGAAAAGACAGTGGATAGAGTTGGAAATTGGAGAGATAACGAGTGGAGGACGACATGCAGGAATTCAGGTGTCTTTGTTTTCACTGGTCGGATTTGAACCATGGCTAAATGCTTTTCACGACTATAGCCTCTGTACATGGGTAGCATGAACTAACCACTAGGCTACTGGTACCCCTAAAGGCTTGTTCTTTTTGCTGTGTAACTCTCAGGTCCATCAGTGGAGTTTATGAAATGCACTGCTGTCTGGAGTCAATGTCATAATATTACAACTGTTTCTTCTGAACAAGTTCTCTTCAGGTTAACGTGCATTCACAGATCCTTATGTCATATTTTAATTTTTGGCAGCATCTACCCTCTACACAGGAAATTCATCACTTATTATTCCTTATTTTTTCTTCCTCCTTGGATGTTTTGATAGCACCTTCTCTTGTGCACTGGACAGATTATGATACAGTGGTGTATTCCTTATGAGAAAGATGAGGTGCATCCCGGGGGCTTTTAATGCGTCCATTAGATTCTTATGTGTCAAGAGATGAAAGATGTGTGCCTATATCACTGGGGTGGTGTCTCCTAATTGATAACTTTGTCATGAATCTTTATAAAATCCATACACAAATTGTGCTACCTTGAGACATGGAATATCAAGGGATGGATTCAAAGCCTGTGGTTCCTCATCTATGTCTCATTGCACACAGGGTCAAATTGAAAGAGTGTAGAGCGGTGTCATTCCTCATTTATGAACTCTTCTGCTGCAGTCATCTCAGAGAAGCATTCCCCTAAAGCCTCTGATGATGTTCCCTTAGCTGTAGTCATGTCAGCTACTGATGAAGGTACTTTAAAATCATTCAGTAACACAGCCCAAAATTATCATCATTCTTTGTATAAAGGATGTATTCTGTGTTACAAGTATCTAAAATAAATAGATCTAGATCATGTCAGTACCTCTATCATTTGGTTAATTGACAAATTAACAAGGTTTTTCTTAAGACACTCATCCACCTTGGAGAGCTACACAGCATCCTTACTGTAATAAGCAGGGTAGCCAGGTCGGTGTGACAAATCAAGTGACCAATCCAAAACCAGTTGAAACCCTACAGCCACTGGCGCCAAAAACAGCCCTTTACAGAAATCAAAATACGCTCCAGCAAAATCATGTTCTATAGGCTTATGTAATTTCGGACATGGTTTAGGAAGGGTTGATTAATTGACTTGGCCATTATGATAGCTTCCAACTTAGCTGCCAAGGTTAGCTTTCCTTTACTGGAACAATAAGGTCACATAACAAACTTAATGTTTTTTGCTGAGAGGCTGTGTGTGTGTGTGTGTGTGTGTGTGTGCGTGTGTGTGTGTGTGTGTGTGTGTGTGTGCGCGCTTGTTGAGCTTACTTAGTTTCAGAAAACCTGACTACCTCTGAATGAAGCATAATTGTTTTACACACTCTAACGCAGAAGAGACCAATAGGGCTCCTACCCATGAGAAGACACTTTAATTTCTTTGTCTCAAATTTGAGGGATTAATTAAATATTCAGGGAAACAGGTAAGATTTCATTGTACCCTTGATTGCATTTTAAGTGTTGTTGCCAGGCAACATAATTGTGCATGTTTGTTTCAGTTATCTTTGAGCCTTTGGTAATATTTTTAAATGAACTCAATATAGTTAATGGCTCTTGTCTTCTATTCTTCAAAATCTAAATCCTGCCCACAACACTGTTTTGAATCCCCTGCATGAACATTCCTCCAGGTTTATCCATGTGCAGCTACTTCCCTCTCCCTGATTGGCACTTTTAAAGTTGTTTCCAACACATCCCTGCCTCCTCTTAAAACCGCACTCATGCCCTTTCACCTCTTTGCCTCTTATTGGCCTCCTGCTGACTTAGCTGTGCAGCTTATTGACTCATCGCTTGGCTCCTCAGAGGAAGGACTAGAGTACATGAGAGTTTATGATGACTTAGGGATTAGGGCCCACTCTCTGACATAAACAAATTAGCGTATTCAACACTGAAGACAAAAAGAAATATAAAGGTCGTAATCGTAGATCTATTCTCTAAATAATTACTTTTCAGTCTTGTGAGTATTTTTTGTGTCTCTGATCAGTGCGATGGCTGCTCGGGGACTAAATGGAGGAAGTGATCAGACAATAATTTATCTTCTTCAAAGGCTCAAGGACCTCATCAAAGGGATAAAACCTGGCTTGAAAAAGAAACCTTGGGCTGCCCCTTCTTATTGTTGATTATTTTAATAATTGATTAATCAGGTGATACATTTTTACCATTGATTTGTTATTATTATTTCAAAAAGGTAAAATGTTTTATTTTCATTATTGCATTTAAAAATAGAACAATATTTCTAAATGACAACAGTAATAAAAACTGCCTGCAAACAACAGGTTGATCACCGCAATCTTATATTATAAATATAATACATTTATATAAAAGAAAACACATTACTATGATAATATCTTACATTTTAA